CCCGCCTCTCCTGCCGGGGCATGCGCAGTGTGGCCTCCGGCGCTCTACTTTGGGTGGGTGTTGTGGGGTTTAGCGGTCCCGGGAATCCTAAATTAGGCCAGCTACAGTCCCAAATGGAAGCACTTAGTCGGGTGGTGCCTAAAACCGTACCTTCACTGTCCATAGGGTCCCTTAAGACCTGGCATGGCCTTCCAGCCCTCCGTCCCTGCCGCGTGAATCCCCACGTAGGACTCGGACTTGGGGCCGAGCAGCGGGTCCCTGGGCAGGGCTTCGTGGGGACCGTCTCCTGCCGCTGTCGTGAACAGGAGGAGGACACAGGGGTGGGCAGTGTAGCCAGCAAACAGCCACGCTTACTTTTCCAACTCCTGGCATGTGTGCGCTAGGACCTTCTCGTCTCACGTGGAACTCTTGGCCACTATGAACATAAGCCCGAAGGACGTAAGGCTTGCGCTGGTATCTCCCAAGATCTGAAGGTAACGCACCATCTATGTTTATACCTTACAGTAAGATTCTTTTAAAACCACTTTAAATATTCTTTTTAAGGGGCCGGCCAAATAGTTTAGCAGATTAAAGTGCCTGCTAAGGCAGAACACAGTGTCCAGGGTTTGATCAGGGCGTGCTGTGCCTGCACCTCTCCCCGGGCGTACTGGGATGATGATTGAGATTGGGTGTGGTGGCACGCGCCTGTAATCCCAGCTCTTGGGAGGCTGAACACAGGCGGATCACTCTGAGTCCGATCTAAGTAGTGGGACCCTGTAGGTCCTATTGACCTTGTACTAACAACAACAACAACTTTGAGCATTACAGTGATAAATCGTTTAAGTCATTTTCCATTTAGTTTTTCTGATGAGCTCCCAGTACCACACTGATAGGTTTTTCTTGCACTGGAGAATTCATTGCCCCGAATTTGCAGAGGAGGCTGCAAAGCACTGGAATCCTGGTGATACATCATCCTAGAGGATCAGTTTTACTGTAGAATTTGGGAGAAAAAGTGAAGAACTTTACAAGATAATAATTAAAACCTTAAAGCTAAGAGGGAACTGAATGATATCTGCATTAATAACTGCACCCAAAATGACAGACTTTCTTAAAGAATCCGATGAAAACCTGTTTGCCATTATTTTTGACAGTAAAATAAAAAGTACAACAAGTCAACCAAAAAATTCTACTAGGTTCCTAAATCACAAATGGCACATTGATGTAGGGCATGTTAGGGTGGAAAATACTTTAACACTGCATATTCGCCACCTCATATTTAATGAGCTGGTGGCTAACTGCAGCTTCTTTTTTTTTTTTTTTAATGTATTTAGTACAGGGTCTACAGAATCTCACTACACAGATGGGACTCATAGTGATCCTCTGGTTCTCAGTCTCCCAAGCACTGGGATTACAGGCGCCCACCACCACACCCAATCTCAGTCTCGGTCTCAGTGTGCCCCAGGAGCAAGGCAGGCACGCCACGCCATGCCACACCACGCCAGGGATCGAACCCTGGTCCCTGCATCTGCCTAAGCAGACATTTTAGTCTGCTGAGCTATCTGGCTAGCAGCCCTAACTGCAGGTTCTTAAGAGCCAGCTTCAGCCACCTTCCTCTCTTGATGGTCTGTTGCCCAAAACAGCATCCTAGCCATCCCCCATTTCCTCTGTACCCCTCAGCAATCCTCTGTTTCTCTGCACAGCATCCAGAGTGATCTGATGAACACATGAGACACGTGCTGTGTGCTGCCCTGCTTCCATGTAAAGCTGGTCACAGGCTCCTTATTACAGTAGAATAAAAGCTTTAACAACCTGGCCCCTGCCTGCCTCTTCAGCACCATTTCTAGCTCTTACTTTTTTATACTAATAGATGTAAAATTTCCTATTCCTTCTATTCAAGACCTGAAAGCAATCAACTAACATATATTAGATACTAGAATCTAGCACATAAGGCATAGAAGGAAAAAACAGAGAAAGATGGGCCATTTAAAAAAGCAGAATAGGGCTGGAGAGATGGCTCAGTGGTCTAAAGCACCTA